GAGGCATGTACCAAGGATATCAAAATTCGTTTGCATCGTACAATGACTTGCGTGTAGCAAATCGGGAGGCAAAAAAAAATATCATTAGAAAATTGATCTGATAATTATCATAGTTCCGAAAATAAGCACCCTCCGAAAATAAGCACCTCCCCAAACTTTTACCTCTGAAAATAAGAAGCACCTTTCCCAAAATGTAATCAAAAATGGTAATGATTAATTGTATGTACCAACTAGTGGGTAGCACAGGAGGAGGGTGAGCTGTACAAGAAAGCAAAGTTGCATAAAAGATGTTCTTTTTCAAATCAGGGTAGTTATTATAAAAATCGTGATTGATGATAACAATTTTAATTATCAATCTTATAATAATGTTTCTATGTTCAACATTTTATGTCACGGAAAACTTTGATAGAGTTACAAATGGTTTTATTATATATCAAGAGTTTGAATTGGAAGTAAATTTAGTACATGATAATGATATAGTAGGGAAATTTTATTACTGTGCAAACCCAATGACCACAGTCTTTGATTTTCTTGACCTACATGAATTTCATTCTCTTCAAATGCAGACAATCAAGTTTTTCCCACGGCTGAAGGCAACATAAGCTCAATTGATAAGGATACATGGGGTAGGGTTAGCCCTTGTGTCTTATTATTATGTACTGTGAGTGCAAATGCATTTTGGAGAGGAAATTGGGTACGAGAACATGGTCCACCATTAATTAAAAATAAATCGGTCGCATGTCAGATAGAAGTCACAGTAAGACCACTTGAAGTAGGAAATGTCGCTTCAATAGTGTTATTCAACGCAATCAAATGAACTTCAACTTCCGCGATTCACTTGTTATCACTTTCAAACCCATTTATTCCGCGTTTAGTACTCCAATCATTCACAGATTGCATTATTTGATACCCAAACTTGCGTTACAACGTTGAAGCTACTGAATTGCCGATTTGCGCTTTATTATTATACATTCACGCGAGACATATTCTTCTCTGAGAAACAAAATTTGAGATCGCCTGTATGTAGTCCTGCTATTCTAGTCAATTCAACTTCATATCTATTTACCACATATATACCTTCTCTCGAAAACTATTTAAAGTCGTTTCAAGAAAAGTTGAACAGTATCTAAATGTATAATGAATAGTAGTAGCAATTATTATTTGATGTACTGTATCAATCAAAAAATTCAAATTAGTCATACAACGAGAACGAAAAGCAACTTTCATTAGTCTATGATCATGAGAGGCGAAGCCTCTTAACTATTTATAACCCTAATTCACAATAGAAAATTTTAACGCTATCCCGTATATAAGATTATCATTTTTTTCACGTAAAACAGAGAAAATGCTCGAACAATTTTTTTTAACTTGATATTTTTGTGAGGATTACTCAATTTTTTAAAAAAATATTTTAAGTTTTGGTTCGTCAGTTAAGTTAAGTAATAAGTAGCGATCGAGGAAACTCTTGGAAATGTTTTGTAAAATGTCTTTTTTTAATTCTTGAGCTTTTTTTCGTTTTGCTCTGAAATAAATGAGTAGGTAAGTTGCGGTTACCATTTGGCTGATTCGGTAAGCAGTTTTTCAATTTTTCTCTTCAATTTTTTCTAAATTAGTTTTTCCAATTCCGACACGGAATTGAGATCTGAGTATTGAAAGCCGTTACCATTTTCATAACACTGAGCTTTGTTTAATTCCGCTGTACTTGACTTTGTCACAACCTCAACAATATAATCCACACAATCTATTGTCGTTTTTCGATAAAGCTTTTTAATCAATCCGAAACTACCATCACATTTGAATTTAGTATGTCCAGGTATCATAAATTTAATTCAATATAGGTAAAATTAAATAGTAGCATTATTTTATTCTGTCCTCCTGCGTAATTTTAGATTTTATTCATTCTCTTAATTCCATCGAATACCATGATTAATGTTTCATTAGGACCTTTCCCCATTATTTCGTTCTCATCGAAAACATAATTAATTTGTTCGCGTACTGCTTTATCCTGGATACCAAATAAGTGTACTTTACGCAGACTGAGATAATAAACCTTACTTGTTGATCGGAATGGGGTACGTGAACGTTTTGCGCTCAATCGTAACTGTAATGCGCGTCGCAATAAGCTTTACCTCTTGTTATAAAATACTCATTTACTAATTTTCTCTGTTGTTCTGCTAATTTCGTATTTTTGTTGTAATAGCTTCTCTTTAATTTAGCCTTAACTAAATATTCTTTAATAAATCTCTCGCTTCTTCTTCCTTACGAGCATTATACTGTAAGTCGTTTCGAAAACGTTGGCACGTGTCACATAAATCCGTTCTTGGACTCATAATTTGAATATAAGGTACCATAACTTGCGAAACCGCATCATGTTTTCAACGTGCTTATCGTTTTCAATACCTGCAATAAAATTACGATAGACCGATTTATAACTTGTTTCAGCTGGCAATAGTGTCAGCGATTGAGTAATGCGATTGACATTTCTACCAAGACTTGGTAATCCATGTATTTCAGCATAGTCTTCGAGAAAATTCTTCATGGCCGTTGCAACGGTTATATTGTTATTGGTTTTCTATCGCGGCATTAGTTTTATGTTACTATAAACGCGCGGTATTATACCATTCGTCGCCAAGTAATTTCGAAGCGCGTGCGGCCAATTCCTGACATATTCAGATACGTTTTCTGACAAAGTGGCGTACTGCGATTTAATTTCAGCAATAAAGGTTCTCTTATTAGTACATGTATTTTTTTTAAGACGTCAACCGGCAGTTATTTCTCCACCGTTCATTGCTTTAAACTGGGCCATTAAAAATATATCTTGTTCCGGTCTAGAGAGCTTGAAACGCTTCACGTAATTCGGCAAACCTTTCTCTCGGAATCTTTTTTGGGCAATCACAATTGCTGCCTATCTCTAGAAAACGTATTGCTTTTTCATATTCGGTGGAAACGTTATAATTAGAATTTTCATACACGGGTAATCCTATATATAATTTTATCGTTTTTGTTCATATGCTGCCAAACGGCCATCGACGTCAATAGCACTCACTCAGGTTACGTCTAACCCAGCGGCATTCTGTTAAAAAAAATACACAAATTCAGGATTTATTGTTTTTTTTCACCCTCCTTCATAAAACACAAACAAGTTTAGCGTTGTGATATTTAAGCACCGAGGTAGAAATCTTGCGTTGATGGAGGAAATCCACCAAAAAGTTGTGTTTAAGCTGTCTTTTGCCCTTGTAAAATACATCATGTCACACAAGGAGCAAGACGCGGTGAAAGGAAGGCTACACAGGGCGCGTGTCTTTTTTTGATCCGACTGTTCTGATTGGCTCTAAAGTTGATTTTCCGTCAGGTTCGCAGCTAACACATTTTTCGCAGCTCGATGGAAAAATATTACTTTGGCCGCGCCGGTATGTCATCGGTGTTTTTGTAGTTGCGCTTACTGACCTACTTATATTCTCGTAGTTGTTCTGTCGTACTTAAAAAATAGTGAGGATAGCCAGGAAGTTTCATACAACTCTTTCTTAAACGAAAACCGGAATGAGCTTGCCGCATGCCCCCCTTTCGATGAGAATTGGTACTCGCTTCACAGCTGCTGGTCTCAACGGTTCATAAAAGCGACGTTGGAGACCTTCGATAGTGACGTTGTCAACCGAGTAAGTGGATTTTTTTTATTCTTAAGCGGGTGAATCTCGAATTCAGGAGTATGAGTGGAATCTCAGTCCGAGTGCTAGGTGTGGGGCAGCTCCTGGCGGGTGAATCTCGAATCCAGGTGTATGAGTGGAATCTGTCCCCCTACGTGCGACTCGCCTTTCTTTTATTTTTAATATTAGCGGAAGGACGGCTCTTGGCGGGTGAATCTCGAATCCAGGAGTATGAGTGGAATCTCAGTCCGAGTGCTAGGTATGGGACAGCTCCTGGCGGGTGAATCTCGAATCCAGGAGTATGAGTGGAATCTCAGTCCCCCTATGTGCGACCCGCCTTTCTTTTATTTTTTTTTATTCTTAAGCGGAAGGACGGCTCTTGGCGGGTGAATCTCGAATCCAGGAGTATGAGTGGAATCTCAGTCCGAGTGCTAGGTGTGGGGCAGCTCCTGGCGGGTGAATCTCGAATCCAGGAGTATGAGTCGAATCTGTCCCATGTGCGACCCGCTTTTCTTTTATTGTTTGCCGTTCCATGTAATGCAGTCTGACTTGTCATTTATTGATTTGAGATCAAACGCGAAGCAAGAGACTCCAGCTATGCAAAATCTTACTGGACTTCTATAATACAAGATCGAAAAAAGGTTGGAAAAACAAGTCTCTAAAAGTTATATTTTATATAATGTTTCTGAAACTAACTTTGTATTAGCTATCTGTGAAGCAAACATATGATACACAAAGCCTTGAGCTATTAGACCTTGCTGGGACTTCTATGTCAGGGGAATTGAAAAATGTGTATTCCGGGAAACGCAAAATACAAACTGTGCATGAACTTGACAAGGTGAGAGCGTAGTAATCTTACACTTGGGTTTGAGATTTTAGGGGAAATAACTAGTACCAGTTTATTGCTTGATCTACCATCATTTATATTGTTGACACATGATGCTAGACTTGTTTCTGCACTATTACTATGGAAACATTTCACCCCACATGTGTAATTTCGAGATTTATAATAATAAATAGAATGTGGTTTTACTTATTTTGATATTATTATTAGGGAGGAGAATCTTCAACTAAGAAAGTTCTTCGAAAAAGAAAAGCAGTGAATTACTATGAAGAAACTGATTCATCTGGTACTAGTTCTGAATATCAAGAAAAAGTGAGCAATATTATGATTACATTGCTTTGAAGCTCAATGATAATCCTTCTAATTAATGAAATCCACGAAGTCTGAAAATGATAATAAAAAGATTACAGATGAACAATTAGCCGAATTCGATCGTGCTTTCTATGGCCTTAATGAAGAAAAAATGTGGACTCTTAAATCTGGGCGCGTTGTTGAGAAGGTTATTTACAAATATGCAAGAAATTTGGAATACGAGTCTTATCTACATTCTTTTATCATCAATGACGTTGATAAAAAAGTGAAGTTATTGTTTGAAAAGGAAGAATGGAAAGAGATATTTGACACAAACTGCAAAAAAATGCCAAAAATAGACAAATCAGTTATTAAACTGATGAAGAAATATTCAGTAACAGATCTGTCTTTATTTCGAAAAATCATCTTCGACCCTTTCTTACCTGCTAACACAGTCTACTCTAATGAGGACCACTACGAATTGGATTATGTCAATCTTGTGTATCGCACCATGCATACGCTCTGGGGAGATAATGATGATTTCACTCTAGATCCATCGAGATTGGAGGGATGGTACCAACAGAATATATGGAGCCCTATTATTGACCCAGCATTCCGTAATTCAAGGATTAACTTGATACGTGGAGAGGGTATGAGCACGGCGTCTAGTGATCGAAAGAACGATGTAAGTTGTCAGCAAGGAAAGAACAAGAAAATTGGTAGGAAAGGTGATGGGATTTTTAGATTGAAAGGTGATAGATTAGAATTTGGTGCGATTGAAGCAGGAAGAAAGTGGGAAAATAATAATGGAAAAAAATACATCAATGACAGCTTAAAACTAAGCAAAATGCTTAGAGATATGCTGGTGATGCTTATAACGGCTTGCAATGACAGTGAACAGATCGCCAGGCAACTACAGGTCCTTGGAATATTACATAGCGCAAATTGGTTCCAGCTCTTAACCATGGATATTCCAAAGGGTTATATCTGTCGGATTCAACATTTCGACTTCCGTGAAGTGGCTGGCCGTATAAACGATCCTCCATTAGCGTTTGTCATCAAGGATCTGTTAAGGGGGAAGGCTATCATTATGAGGACGTTGGAATTGGTGCAACAAGGAAAGACGCCAAACCTCGATAGCCTGGATGACTCTGACACCGACGACAATGAAAGCTCAAATCGGTGTAACACTCCTCCATTCATAAATTTAACTTCGACTTTTACAACCCCTATTAAGCGTACTGAAGATGCGACTAAAAGAAAAAGAGGAAAGAAGGGAAAAAAAAGTAAGAAAGACGGTGAGTAAGTAAAGACAATAATACTATTACAAAGTATCATGTATCGCTGATATAAATGCAGACCCCCTGCGTTCGTAATTGGGAATTCCCCTTCTGTAATTTTCTTAATTAAGTTGGTTGTATATGTCGGATGCTGACACTGTGACGATTGACTAAACACGTGAAGGGACGTCTGAATAAAGTTCTGACGAGTAACATATTCATGATTAGATTCAATTGAATTGGCGCGTTACAACTTCAGTTTGTGACTCGTAATATATACGTCCAGTGCACACCCGAGGTAAAATTTAATCCACTAGAGAGAGCAATGTACGTACATTGGATAATAGAGTCAAGTTAATCTTGGGTCACCGTTTTACCGATCGAGCTTTCGTCGTACCCCAGGCCGAGCTTACTTGCCATGCGCTTTGAAAATATTGAATAGCGATTCATGTTGGAAAAAGGTATTTCTAAACGAAAAGAGGTTAAAGGGCTGCCGAGTCACGAAGTCATTATCCTCAATGACGTTATAGTATTTGATGTCTCTTGATTTTCTTGAAGTCGCTCTGTTGATTCTACAATGCTGATCAAAGCAGCTTGTGATGAAGAAACGGATATTTTATAATAAAACACAGCACTGGTTCACGGTATTCCAACCACAACGCAATAAGTATCGTCAAAACAATACGTCGTTTAGAGTAATAAAACAAATCTGTCAATTTCGTCAATAACACTACGAAAAATGTTTATATTTACAAACGAATTCTTTGTTGGAATATTTATTGGCTTTACTCTCAGCCTGTTGCTAAATGTAATTGTCAGCCTAATGATACGGAAGCTTTAATTCAAATAAAGTTACAAACTGTCAGCGGCGAACAAAATTTACTCGCCAGAAATCAGAACGACGATTATACGGCAAAAATTTCATTGCATTCGAAATTCATAAATTATTTGGAGTGAAAGTTGTTGCAGCTTCCCACAAAACGAAATTTTTATCTTCGAAGAACAATTTTACGGAAAAAGACGATCAAAGCAATCCAACGTTGGATCGACGAAGAAAGAAGGAAAACGCAAACACTCAGATGAAGGAATAGATAATAGTGATATTGAGATTTAAAATTTGCACGGGTAACAAAAGAATAGGTTATACTCATAAATGGCTTTGGGTCCGAGTATTTTTCTCTCATGCAATCACTCTGGCGTTTTTATATTTTCAAAAGCGATCGTATGCTATAACAAAGATATTAAAATTATGCTTACAAAAATTGTAATTTGTTGTGCAATTCTGACTCATTGTGTCAAGTAGCGAAATATGATCTACGCGCCTTTATCAATAAGGAACAATTTTTCATTGATAGATTGCTCGATCAGTAGACGCCTTGGTATTAGTTACGTTAAATTTCTTAAAGTTTTTGTTTCTTTCTAGGTTCATTGTATGTTGGGGTTAAGGTTCGTTTATGGTTTATTATTTTTCGTTCTTCTTGGTAAATTCATAAGTAATTTTTTCTTTATCTAGATTATTCCTGTATCATTGACTTTAAAAACATATGGAGCCATTTTTTCTCCTTGAGCTTTCTTTGCTTCTACTAGTGCTGTAATTTTTTTGTTCCATTGTAGAGATAGACCTATATTGAATGTGTTGTGCCAGTTTTAATTAAATTCAGTCATATTTTCCATAACAATCTAAGATAAATTATGTCTATAGCTGTGTCATTAAAGCAAACCCTTTCCCCGATATCCCTAACAATTATGTGGTTGCCGGTGGGCATACTGTTTTCAAATGCCTTCGTTGAACATTTCAACGAATAAAATAAGTTTCATTATTTGTATCAGTTAATCAGCAAGTAACTCGCCTCTTCGTTGGCGTTATAGCGATAATTTAGATGCCTAATTATAATACTAACTGAGATATTTGCTAAATTTAATTTAACAATACATCATTTCGACTTCCATCGACTTGTACGTATGTGTATCTATTAGTATTGTCCGTGTAACAAATTTGCCTTATAGTTTTACTCCATACAGCCATATTAACTGGGTGACAAATATGTCTTATAGTTTTATAAACTAAAGGCGAGGTTTATACAACGATATTCTATTGTATATTAACGTGTTACGTTTTGCGGCAATAAAGCGGTTGTACAGTACAATAGTACTACAAATATTGTAACCGGTTGTAGTCATACAGTACCTAGTACTAGCCGACAAGTA